AAGTAGGGCAGAAAAGCTGGAAATTCAAAAAATCAGAGCACATCTCCCCCTCCAAAGGAACTCAGCTCATCACCAGCAACAGATCAAAGCTGGATGGAGAATGACTGATGAGTTGAGAGAAGAAGGCTTCAGTCAATCAAACTTCTCAGAGCTAAAGGAGGAACTACGTACCCAGCGCAAAGAAACTAAAAATCTTGAAAAAAGAATGGAAGAATGGATAACTAGAATAATCAATGCAGAGAAGGCCATAAACAAACTGACAGAGATAAAAACCATGACACGAGAAATACGTGACAAATGCACAAGCTTCAGTAACTGACTAGATCAACTGGAAGAAAGAGTATCAATGGTTGAAGATCAAATGAATGAAATGAAGCAAGAAGAGAAGTCTAGAGAAAAAAAAGAAAAAAGAAATGAACAAAGTCTCCAAGAAGTATGGGATTATGTGAAAAGACCAAATCTACGTCTGATTGGTGTGCCTGAAAGTGAGGGGGAAAATGGAACCAAGTTGGAAAACACTCTTCAGGATATCATCCAGGAGAACTTCCCCAACCTAGTAAGGCAGGCCAACATTCAAATTCAGGAAATACAGAGAATGTTCTTTGAAACCAATGAGAACAAATATACAACATACCAGAATCTCTGGGACACATTTAAAGCAGTGTGTAGAGGGAATTTTATAGCACTAAATGCCCACAAGAGAAAGCAGGAAAGATCTAAAATTGACACCCTAACATCACAATTAAAAGAACTAGAGAAGCAAGAGCAAACACATTCAAAAGCTAGCAGAAGGCAAGAAATAACTATGATCAGAGCAGAACTGAAGGAGATAGAGACACAAAAAATCCTACAAAAAATCAATGAATCCAGGAGCCGGTTTTTTGAAAAGATCAACAAAATTGATAGACTGCTAGCAAGACTAATAAAGAAAAAGAGAGAGAAGAATCAAAGAGACACAATAAAAAATGATAAAGGGGATACCACCACCGACCTCAGAGAAATACACACTACCATCAGAGAATACTATAAACACCTCTATGCAAATAAACGAGAAAACCTAGAAGAAATGGGTAATTTCCTGGACACTTACACTCTCCCAAGACTAAACCAGGAAGAAGTTGAATCCCTGAATAGACCAATAGCAGGCTCTGAAATTGAGGCAATAATTAATAGCCTACCAACCAAAAAAAGTCCAGGACCAGATGGATTTACAGCCGAATTCTACTGGAGGTACAAGGAAGAGCTGGTACCATTCCTTCTGAAACTATTCCAATCAATAGAAAAGAGGGAATCCTCCCTAACTCATTTTATGAGGCCAACATCCTCCTGATACCAAAGCTTGGCAGAGACACAACAAAAAAAGAGAATTTTAGACCAATATCCCTGAGGAACATCGATGTAAAAATCCTCAATAAAATACTGGCAAACCGCATCCAGCAGCACATCAAAAAGCTTATCCACCATGATCAAGTGGGCTTCATCCCTGGGATGCAAGGCTGGTTCAACATATGCAAATCAATAAATGTAATCCAGCATATAAACAGAATCAAAGACAAAAACCACATGATTATCTCAATAGATGCAGAAAAGGCCTTTGACAAAATTCAATAGCCCTTCATGCTAAAAACTCTCAATAAATTCGGTATTGATGGAATGTATCTCCAAATAATAAGAGCTGTTTATGACAAACCCACAGCCAATATCATACTGAATGGGCAAAAACTGGAAGCATTCCCTTTGAAAACTGGCACAAGACAGGGATGCCCTCTCTCACCACTGCTACTCAACATAGTGTTGGAAGTTCTGGCTAGGGCAATCAGGAAAAGAGAAAGAAATCAAGGGTATTCAGTTAGGAAAAGAAGAAGTCAAATTGTCCCTGTTTGCGGATGACATGATTGTATACTTAGAAAACCCCATCATCTCACTCCAAAATCTCCTTAAACTGATAAGCAACTTCAGCAAAGTCTCAGGATACAAAATTAATGTGCAAAAATCACAAGCATTCTTATACACCAGTAACAGACAGAGCGCCAAATCATGAATGAACTTCCATTCACAATTGCTTCAAAGAGAATAAAATACCTAGGAATCCAACTCACAAGGGATGTAAAGGACCTCTTCGAGGAGAACTACAAACCACTGCTCAGTGAAATAAGAGGACACAAACAAATGGAAGAACATACCATGCTCATGGATAGGAAGAATCAATATCGTGAAAATAGCCATACTGCCCAAGGTAATTTATAGATTCAATGCCATCTCCATCAACCTACCAATGTCATTCTTCATAGAATTAGAAAAAACTGCTTTAAAGTTCATATGGAACCAAAAAGGAGCCCGCATTGCCAAGACAATCCTACGTCAAAAGAATAAAGCTGGAGCCATCATGCCACCTGACTTCAAACTGTCCTACAAGGCTACAGTAACCAAAACAGCATGGTACTTCTACCAAAACAGAGATATAGACCAATGGAACAGAACAGAGCCCTCAGAAATAATACCACACATCTACAGCCATCTGATCTTTGACAAACCTGAGAGAAACAAGAAATGGGGAAAGGATTCCCTATTTAATTAATGGTGCTGGGAAAATTGGCTAGCCATAAGTAGAAAGCTGAAACTGGATCCTTTCCTTACTCCTTATACAAAAATTAATTCAAGATGGATTAGAGACTTAAATGTTAGACCTAAAACCATAAAAACCCTAGAAGAAAACCTAGGTAATACCATTCAGGACATAGGCATGGGCAAGGACTTCATGTCTAAAACACCAAAAGCAACGGCAACAAAAGCCAAAATTGACAAATGGGATCTAATTAAACTAAAGAGCTTTTGCACAGCAAAAGAAACTACCATCAGAGTGAACAGGCAACCTACAGAATGGGAGAAAATTTTTGCAACCTACTCATCTGACAAAGGGCTAATATCCAGAACCTACAAAGAACTCAATCAAATTTACAAGAAAAAAACAACTCCATCAAAAAGTGGGCAAAGGATATGAACAGACATTTCTCAAAAGAAGACATGCATACAGCCAACAGGCACATGAAAAAATGCTCATCATTACTCGCCATCAGAGAAATGCAAATCAAAACCACAATGAGATACCATCTCACACCAGTTAGAATGGCAATCATTAAAAAGTCAGGAAACAGCAGGTGCTGGAGAGGATGTGGAGAAATAGGAACACTTTTACACTGTTGGTGGGACTGTAATCTAGTTCAACCATTGTGGAAGACAGTGTGGCAATTCCTCAAGGATCTAGAACTAGAAATACCATTTGACCCAGCCATCCCATTACTGGGTATATACCCAAAGGATTATAAATCATGCTGCTATAAAGACACATGCACACATATGTTTATTGCGGCACTATTCACAATAGCAAAGTCTTGGAATCAACCCAAATGGCCATCAGTGACAGACTGGATTAAGAAAATGTGGCACATATACACCATGGAATACTATGCAGCCAGAAAAAAGGATGAGTTCGTGTCCTTTGTAGGGACATGGATGCAGCTGGAAACCATCATTCTCAGCAAACTATCACAAGAACAGAAAACCAAACACCGCATGTTCTCACTCATAAGTGGAAATTGAACAATGAGATCAATTGGACATGGGAAAGGGAACATCACACACCGGGGCCTATTATGGGGAGGGGGGTGGGGGGAGGGATGGCATTGGGAGTTATACCTGATGTAAACGATGAGTTGATGGTGCTGACGTTTTGATGGATGCAGCACACCAACATGGCACAAGTATACATATGTAACAAACCTGCACATTGTGCACATGTACCCTAGAACTTAAAGTATAATTTTAAAAAATGCTAAAGAAAGCATTAAATTCAGATCAGAAAGAGTTCTGGGGAAAGGAACGCCCCACCTTGAAAATAATGATGGTAGGTTAACATATAGCAACGATGAAGTAGAACTTCTCTACTCCTATTTTACTACCTTTTTTCCCCCCTGGGCAAAGAAATGGCCCATCAGAGTTGAGTGGAAAAGATAGAAATAATAAGGAATTGCAGGCCCAACTTGTTTAAGATTCCATCTAAATCACTGTATCCCAAGGGATGGTAATATCATATTGATTGAGAAAACAGGTTTCGGAGTCAGATATATCTAGCATCTACTGTGTTCTCCTGGCAAATAGTTTAACGGCAATAAATTTCAGTTGTAAATACCTCATAGGGTTAGGGTGATAATTCAGCTAAAGCACTTTAACATAGTATCTGGGACATAATAAATACATGCAACTATTCATTTTATCATTTGGTATTTTCATTGACTAGCTGAAATGACGTCAGTAATCTTTAAGAAATTCTGCAAAAAGAGTAAATATCATGAATACTCAATAAGACTAGAACTAATAATTTTAAAGATAGTTTTTTTAGTTTCCAAAGTAAGTAATGATCTTAGTAACAGTATGAGTTCAGTAAGAAGAGGCCATACCAACATAAGTGCATTTTCCTTTTCCTAAAGTGCTACTTACTGGAAATCAAAAGAATTTTATGTACAGAGAGTATTCAGATTTCAGCATGACCAAAAATCTCATGAAAGAGTCTTGTGAAAGAACTGTGGGCTGCTTGTCACAGACAGAGGGTTTTTTAACTTGCTGAATAACCCAAATGGTGCTAGTTAAGAAATATTCCAAATCAAGAAAAAATTTATTAGGAAGAATAACTTAGAAGGTGGTCCCTCAGCCCTAAATTTTTCAGGAGTTTCACCAATGACTGTTACGCTGACTTCTGTAGCATGCTGATCGATGAAATGATTGAGACAAAATTCAAATTCAAAATATTCTGAAATGGCTGAAACAATAGATCAAGTCCAACACTATGAAGTTTGTACACAAAAAGTCTAGTGTTTTACTTTGGTCCAGTATCAAACTGTATAAGCAGAAGATGGGTTACATGTCTCAGAAGCTTGTATTATTTAAAAGTTTTATTCAAGAGCAAGGCCAGGTCAACCTAAAGTAATAAAAAAAGGTCAGAATATAGTTTAAAGAGAATTTATTCAAACACAAATGTTGAGGGATACATCCTGGGACACACTTCCAAGTTGCCTTGGGACATGCCCTGGAGAACAAAAGAGCAGTTCAAGTTTTTAAAGAAAAAAAAAGAACAAATCAGGAGGAGAGGTGATTACAAAAAGTTATTTGTCAGTAATTCTCATTGGTTTACAAAAATAACATTGGGTGGTGATTGATTATACATTGCTAAATTATAGGTGTATGATATTTTATAGCTATTTGGCATCAAGATGGTCTAGGGCCCACATAACAAGTGTCTTTAAGAGGTAATTATTTAGCTCAAGAGGGAGTGAGACAGGACTGATGTTACATTTTAAATGCCTTTCTGGGCCTGATAATTTAAAGGGGCTCATATTCCTCATGTAAAACGTTTTTTTTTTTCTTTTTTATTTACCCCCTTTTGATGAAAATCTTTCTTCTTGAAAGCACCTGTGATCAAAATCTAACTGTCCAAGTGTCCCTTGTCACTGGGAAGGCTCATTTCCAGAGAGTTCTGTCCCATGTCAAAGGGGGAAAGGGAGGCAGTCTCAGTAAGGATTTTTTTTTAAGAGTCCCCCAAAGCTCATTTGGGATGGCATCACAGAGTGGCAAAAGTGAGAACTTGGTCAAGCCATTGATTTATGTAGCTGCTGTTGCCTGTTGAAACATAAACACCATGATTTAATTTTCTCAGAAATAACACATATGGATTATAACCAAAAAGAAAATTGGTATGCCAGAATGGAAAAACAAAAACCCCCAAATCTCTTTCTTTAGGGAGCCATTACAAACATTGTGAAGATAATTGAACCCAGGTGGTTCTTTAGAAACTTGTTGTAGCCATGAAATAATTCAGGATTTAGTCCAAATGGTAGGAAAATTTTAAAACTCAGAAACAACGATAAGGGCTAGAATCTAATAACAGGTGTGCTATAGTTTTTATCTGAAACTTAATTTCTCTCTCCTGTTTCCCATTTCTACCAAAGATAAATCTTAGTAGGACCAATCTACTTGTAAAATAAGTTTTAGTATTATGTTTGGCCTGATTATTTGCATAAAGTATAACAAGAATAGTGATTGACCATATAGGCTTCTTTTTTCATTTTTTATTTTTATTTTTTTTTCTGTACTTAGTCTGTTCACAAGTCTTCTTTTTAAGTTGGCTTTGCTGGAATTATTTCATAAGGAATTTCAGATTAGACTTTTAAAAGCCTCCTGAAGTTATAAAGCCAAGCCAAGGATTCACCATCAGACTGTGCCTTTAATACCTGTATGAACTGGGTGAATTCCTTTCTTTTTGAGATCCCCAAATATCTTGAGGTTCCTGGCCCTATCAAAAAACAACATTTTTCACTTACAACAAGGTCAGGAACCTTGTAAGAGAACCATGTAGACAGGGTACAGTCTATAAAGTCAACTTTAATTCCTCAAACCAGTCTCGTCGTATCTGAAAAGATGTCATTCCAGTCAAAGCCTTGGGGAAATTACCAGTGTCTCCAATATGTCCTGTTACAAAAGAAAACAGATTTTTATTGAACTTATGTAAATTCCTATATTGTTATAAAATAAGAATACTTGCAAACAGTTTCTGAATTCTGGAGGAATCAGGTAGAGAGAAAGGCAAATATTTCCATTTTTGTTCACAAAAGTATACTTTGCTGGGTATTGTGGCTCATGCCCATAAACCCAACACTTTGGTAGGCTGAGGCAGATGGATCCCTTGAAGCCAGGAGTTTGAGATTAGCCTGGCCAACAGGGCAAAACCCTGTCTCTACTAAAAATATAAAATTAGCTGGGTGTGGTGGCACACACATGTAATCCCAACTACATTGGAGGATGAGGCATGAGAATCACTTGAACCCAGGAGCCAGGAGGTGGAGGTTGCAGTGAGCTGAGATTGCATCACTGCACTCTAGCCTGAGTGACAGAGTGAGACCCTGTCTAAAAAATATATATATATATATATATATATATATACACATATATACACACTTTGCCCAAATTGCTATAAGCTATAAATAGCTCAAAAGAAAAAAAGTTTGACTCTGGAAAACAAAACGTATTACTGCTTCAGGTGGAGCCCTTTAATGAATAGGACAAAGAAAGTATTTGCAGTTTCTGGGGCCAAATATTTAAATATGTAAAAAGCAGGCACAATTGGAGGGCAACACATCTAAATCTTTAAAAATCAAGGATGCCACTTTTATATTGAATCCTGGCTCCCCAGAAAAGAAGGAAACACCATGACACCAGGCCATGACACAGGCTTCCACAGTGTACCTCACTACAAAGACATTCTCCTGGCTGGTAGGTAACCCAATGTCAATCAGTCCCCTCTGTGAACAGCCCATCCCCCATAAGAGTTTTATCCCTTGGTGGTGAGTCCATACCTGCACTTTTATTTAAATGCACAAGGACTGGTTTTTTTGTTTGTTTGTTTGTTTGTTTGTTTGAGATGGAGTATTGCTCTGTCACCCAGGCTGGAGTGCAGTGGCATGATCTCGGCTCACTACAACCTCTGCCTCCCAGGTTCAACTGATTTTCCTGCCTCAGCCTACTGAGTAGCTGGGACTACAGGCATGCCCCAACATGCCTGGCTAATTATTTTGCATTTTTAGTAGAGACAGCGTTTCATCATGTTGGTCAGACTGGTCTTGAACTCCTGACCTCAAATTATCTACCTGACTGAAATTATCCAGCCATTCCACCTGGGATCCAAGGATTTTTATAATTTTGAGTTTTACATTTAAGTCTTTAATCCATCTTGAGTTAATTTTTGTATAAGGTGTAAGGAAGGGGTCTGGTTTCCATTTTCTGCATATGGCTAACCAGTTTTCCCATCACCATATATTAAATAGGGAATCTTTTCCCCATTGCTTGTTTTTGTCATGTTTTATAAGGATCAGATGGTTGTAGAGGTGTGGTCTTATTTCTGAGATCTCTATTCTGTTCCATTGGTCTGTGTGTCTGTTGTTGTACCAGTACCATGCTGTTTTGGTTACTATAGCCTTGTAGCATAGTTTGAAATCAGGCAGCATTATACCTCCAACTTTGTTCTTTTGGCTTAGAATTGTCTTGGCTATATGGGCTCTTTTTTGGTTCCATATGAATTTTAAAGTAGCTTTTTCTAAATATGTGAAGAATGTCAATAGTTGTTTAATAGAAATAGTATTGAATCTATTGAATCTATAAGGGTGGACATGGCTCACACCTGTAATCCCAGCACTTTGGGAGGCCAAGGTGGGCAGATCACCTGAGGTCGGGAATTCAAAACCAGCCTGACCAACATGGTGAAACCCTGTCTCTACTAAAAATACAAAATTAGCTGGGCATGGTGACACATGCCTGTAATCCCAGCTACTCGGGAGGCTGAGGCAGGAGAATTGCTTGAACGCAGGAGGCAGAGACTGCAGTGAGCCAAGATTGTGCCATTACACTCCAGCCTGGGCAACAACAGTGAAACTCCATCTCAAAAAACGAAACAAAAAAGCATTGATTCTATATATTATTTTGGGCAGTATGGCCATCTAGGCAATACCATTTAGGACATAGGCACTGACAAAGATTTCTTGATGAAAACATCAAAAGCAATTGTAACAAAAGCAAAAATTGACAAATGGAATTGAATTAAACTAAAGAACTCTGCACAGCAAAAGATACTATCGTCAGAGTGAACAGACAACCTAGAGAATGGGAGAAAATTTTTGCAATCTATCCATCTGACAAAGATCTCATATCCAGAATCTATGAGGAACTGAAACAAATTTACAAGAAAAAAACAACCCCATTAAAAAGTGGGCAAAGGACATGAAGAGACACTTCTCAAAAGAAGACATACATGTGGCCAACAAACATAAAAAAAGCTCAAAATCACTGATCATTAGAGAAATACAAATCAAAACCACAATAAGATACCATCTCATGCCAGTCAGAATGGTGGTTATTAAAAAGTCAAGAAACAACAGATGCTGGTGAGGTTGTGGAGAAATACGAATGCTTTTACACTGTTGGTGGGAATGTAAATTAGTTCAACCATTGTGGAAGACAGTGTGGTGATTCCTCAAAGACCTGGAGGCAGAAATACCATTTGACTCAGCAATCCCATTCCTGGGTATATACCCAAAAGAATATAAATCATTCTATTATAAAGATACATGCACACGTATGTTCATTGCATCACTATTCACAATAGCAAAGACATGGAATCAACCCAGAGGTCTATTAGTGGTAGACTGGATAAAGAAAATGTGGTAATGTGGCACATATACACCACAAAATACTATGCAGCCATAAAAGGGACTGGGGTAATGTCCTTCGCAGGGACATGGATGGAGCTGGAAGCCATTATCCTCAGCAAACTAACACAGGAACAGAAAACCAAACACCGCATGTTCTCACTGATAAGTAGGAGCTGAACAATGAGAGCACACGGACACACTGTGGTCTGCTGGGAGTGGGTGAAGGGAGGGAGAGCATCAAGATAAATACCTAATGCATGTGGGGCTTAATACCTAGGTGACTGGTTGATAGGTGCAGCAAAGTAAACCCGCCTTTGCAAAACTATAACTGAGGAGATTATAAAAGTGAAAGAAATCAGACCTAACTGATTCCATCTTGCTTCTAACCTTTAACCTGTCCTTGTTCATCTTGGGGCCTAGGTCAAACTAACTTTGGGAAGGAATTCAGTTTATGGTTTGACTCTGAAACAAAATTGATAACAGCTCTTTCCTGAAAAACACCCCTTCTTGCCTAGAAACCAGTCTGCCTTTGCAGAACTAGCAAATTAGCTACAAGATTAGAAATTCCAGTTTAGGGGTTGTGCAGCCTCTGGCTCCAAGAGTCTGAACCTCCCCAAATTGCTCCTGGGATAATATCACTATTATAAAACCTAAAGTCAGTGCTTGAGATATTTTGCAGACCCCATACTTGATGGATCAGCTGATACCACACAGACTGGTAATCTGGCTCAACCAGTTCTGCCATCCCACCCAGGAACAGAAGACAGCAAGAAAAACTCACTTGGAACCCTTATGATTCCATTTCCAACCTGACCAATCAGCACTCCCCACTTCCCAAGCCCCTACCCACCAAATCTCTGATCCCTGAATGCTCAGGTAGACTGATTTGATTAATAATACAACTCTGGGGCCAGACGCGGTGGCTCATGCCTGTAATCCCAGCACTTTGGGGGGCCAAGGAGGGTGGATCACCTGAGATCAGGAGTTCGAGACCAGCCTGGCCAACATGGTGAAACCTCATCTCTACTAAAAATATTTTTAAAAGTTAGGCAGGCGTGGTGGTGCACGCCTGTAATCCCAGCTACTCAGGAGGCTGAGGCAGGAGAATTACTTGAATCCCGGAGGCGGAGGTTGCCGTGAGCTGAGATCGCGCCATTGCACTCCAGCCTGGGCTACAAGAGCGAAACTCCATCTCAAAACAAAAACAAAAACAAAAATCAAACGAAACAACAACAACAAAAAACTCCACTCTCCCGCACAGCGAGCCCAGCATGAATTACTCTTTCTCCATTGCAATTCCCCTGTCTTGATAAATTGGTTCTGTCTAGGCAGCGGGCAAAGTGAACCCCTTGAGCGGTTATGGCACTATGGCACACATTTACCTTTGTAACAAATCTGCACATCCTGCACCTATATCCTGGAACTTAAAATAAAATTAAAATGTAAAAAAAGACTAAATAATAAATGCACAAGGAAAGGGGTATTCCCTTGTGGTGACTACCATTCATTGCAACTTTAACCACCCAGTGGGTTCACCTTACCGGGTGCCTAGAAAGAATCAGTTTATCAAGACAGGGGAATTGCAATGGTGAAAGAGTAATTGACACAGAACCGGGTGTGCAGGGTGACCAGAGTTTTATTGTTACTTAAATCAGTCCCCTGGAACATTCGGAGATCAGAGTTTTTAAGGATAATTTGGGGTATGGGCTCGGAAAGTGGGGAGTGCTGATTGGTTGGGTTGAAGATAAAATCACAGGGGGTGGAAGTGAGTTCTTGCTGACTTCCCTTCCTGGGTGGGATGGCAAAATTGGTTGTGCCAGATAATCAGTCTGGATGATGTCATCTGCTGCATTGGAATGTAGGGCCTGCAAAATATCTCAAGCACTAATCTTAGGTTTTACAACAGTGATGTTATTCCCAGGAGAAATTTGGGGAGGTTCGGACTCTTGCAGCCAGAGGCTGCATGACCCCTAAACTGTGATATCTAATTTTGAAGCTAATTTGTTAGTCCTACAAAGGCAGACTGGTCCCCAGGCAAGAAGGGTTTTTTGGGGAAAGAGCTATTATCCATTTCGTTTCGGAGTTTAAACTATAAACTAAATTCCTTCCCAAGGCTAGTTCGGCCTACACCCAGGAATGAACAAAGGTAGTTTAGAAGTTAGAAGGAAGATGGGGTCGATTAGGTCTGATCTCTTTCATGACATAATTTCCTCAATTATGATCTTTGCAAAGGCGATTTCATAACCACTGTCAGCCACCTCCCAGACTGCAGCCCTCACCAGTGATCCACCAGTCATCACACATAGAAAAGCGTATTGTCTCACAGTCTCACCAGTAATCCCTGGTACCCCTAAAAGCCAAAGAGATCGGGTAATTGATGTAAAAGACAGTAGAGTTTACACTTGAGAGGAACATGTCCATGACTCTTCAGACTCCACAGGAAGGCAGAAGACCTTAAAAAGGGATGAGTGGTGACTCTTTCTGTGTCCCTTAAGAGGTCTGAGTCATTAGAGTTTCTCTCAGATTTCTTTTCTTCTTCTTCTTTTTTTTTTTTTTTTTTTTTTTGAGATGGAGTTTTGCTCTTGTTGCTCAGGCTGGAGTGCAATGGCTCAGTCTTGGCTCACTGCAACCTCTGCCTCCCGAGTTCAAGCAATTCTCCTGCCTCAGCCTTTCAAGTAGCTGGGATTACAGGCACATGCCACCATGCCCAGCTAATTTTTGTATTTTTAGTAGAGATGGGGTTTCATCATGTTGGTCAGGCTGGTCTTGAACTTCTGACCTCAAGTGATCCACCCGCCTCAGCCTCCCAAAGTGCTGGAATTACAAGCATGAGCCACCACACCAGGCCTAGATTTCTTCACATAGCACTGAAGACAGCAAAGAGGGAGGATCTTGAATATCAGCTTTTAACTAAGCTGACCTCTGTCCATAGAACACCTTTTTAAAAATCCTTTTAAATATCTTATTGTCAGATTTTAGCCAGGACAAACAGCTGAAATTCCTGGATTTTGAACTTTTTTTTTTTTAAACTGAAGGTACCCTCCCAAGTGACTCACTAAACCAATAAGCCTTAAATAAGGTTATACATTCACCAAGGACACAGGAAGCATCTCCAAAGAGGTGCAAAGCAGTCCTTATAAAATCTAGAACCACCCCAAAAATGGTTCAAAGAAAGGAAGGTTTTGCTCCTTTTTAGCCACAAAAGGAGGATAACCCACATTGATCTGGTCATATTTTTCAGGGTCTCAGCTTCTCAGTTGACCATTTATACACAAGGCCCAAAAGCTCTGTTTGCCCCCACAGATGGAAGAAGACAGGAAACCAAAAGCCGTTCATAGAAGGGGAAGGGATCGATAACAAATGGGTGCTCCAAAAGATCAAAAGTCACACAAATATCAAAACAAATGAACTGGTTCCCTGACTGGGAATTGAACCAAGCCATGGCAGTGAAAGCACAGAATTTTAACTACCAGACTACACGGTGGAGCAGCTCCAAAGCAGGCCATTTGAACTTATGAAGGACTTTAGCTTTGTTTTAGATTCTGGCTCTTCAATTTTGCCAAATTTCTAAGGCTAGCCATGACACTAGTGTTTGTCTTTTTAAAAAAATTTTTTTGATCTCCCACAAATACAAATAAGGCAATTGCTTAGAATGAGAGATATCTTTTTAAAATTTAGGAGTCATTCTAATTTAAAGGATCCATCTTTTGGCCACCAATGATTAGACTTTCCAGTGGTGTACTTATTCCAGTAGCAACTCAATCCAGTTATTATAGCAAAAATTATACCAGAGTCCCTACACCCAAGACTAGTCACACAAATATTTTCTCCCATTAATCAACATTTTGCAGAGGAAACAGAAGCAAACAGTGATTTTGGATGGTAATATCTACTCAATCTGTTAACAGTGGAGAGTGTCCAGGTTCTTGGGGTCTTGAAGAAAGAACTGGACAAAATGCACAAAGCAAGGAGGGAATGAAGGGATTTATTGAAAATGAAAGTATACTCCACAGTGTGGGAGCAGGCCTGAGCACAGGGGCTCAAAGACCCCATTACAGAGTTTTTGTGGATGTTGAGGATTCCATTGGTTACTTGGGGTATGGCTTATGTAAATGGAGAGGATGAAGTAAAGTTATAAAGTCATTTACTTGGCCTATGTCCTATGGAGAGGATATTTCCTGTCATAGCTAAAGTGTGAATCAGCCTTATGTTCCCTGCCTCCAGACCCTACTTTCCTGCCTCATCTTCCCCCTGAGAGATGTGATCCCCATAAATATTTATGGGAGGCAGAGGGACCAATGGTCTTTTTTTATGTAACCGCTTCATGCTGGCTTTGGACATAGTCCCTAACTATTGGGGATCACGTATCTCTTGCCCTTCTCGGTCTGGTGGAGGCAGGGTTGGTAGCTCCCTGATGGTCAGGGGTGGTGTCTTCACCTGGAACTGGCTGGAACCTTTGTTACATGATCATCTGAAGCTTGATGATCTCTAGGTGAGAAGAAATGAATTTGGTAAAAAATTTTAATGGGAACTTCAGGGAGTGGATACCTATGCTGTCAGAAATGTTTTTTATAGAGATTTGCAGGAGAAAAAACAAACCCTGGTCTATTTTAGAATCTATGTGTTTCTTTAAATTCTTAGCATGAGCAACTCCATTTTGGTTTGGCTTGGTTTGTTGGGGCCTACTGCATGAGTTTAGTCCAAAACAATGGATTCCCATAATTTTGTTTAAAAAAATTTCCCCTTTTTAGTCATGATCTCACTTAGGTGAGAGTGTAACCAAAACTTAGGGCCTTAGTGCCACTCTCAGTTACCAACATTTTGAGTTTCTGGTCTCAGCACATCATTTATAGGTGTCTTCACGGTTGCACATTTTTTTAAGCTCCTGTTATTCCCCTTGAAGAGAGACTATATGACATTCTAGAGATGGTGCATGCAAGCATTTAAAACCTTTGAGAGAATACAGCACACCAAGGAGACTATTATTACGACTATTGGGAGGATAATACCAAGAGTTTGGAGTATGCGCCTTACCCAAGGTCCCCATAAACTGAAACTCCTAAAATAAAATCGATCAAAGAATGAGCTAAAGAGTTTACTTGCTTAACTCAGCAAATTCTTTGTCAATCCCTTACCACTGAATTTCTGTAATCTTCATTTGATGTATTTCTGAATAGGACAGAAGTGCCAGCAGCTACACAGGTACTTTTCTGTTTAGCTAATTCTATTGTTTAGCATAACTTTCACAAGACAATTTAAAGTCTGTTGTGTAACTGTATGCTTTACAGTAGAATTTGCTGTACAGCATATCAGCAGAATACATTTCTAATCATTGCTTCTTTTACTGTAAACCATGGAAAAAGGACCTAACAAATGATGCCCTTTTAGAAGAGTGAAAGCCTTCTGGCATTGTTTTCTTTAACCCATGATGTGGGTAAACAGGAGTGAACCAGTGTTTTGTTTTTGACTGATTATGAGGAAACATATGTACCATTAACGTTTCTTACCTACATTGGGCCTTTATTCTTTATCAATCAAAGTATAAGGTAATCCATGTATAAGGCTGGCTGCAAACTCCTTCACAAATAAAAGTACACCCCATTAGTGCACAAAACAGACCCCTTTTTCACTTCCACTCTTCATAGAGGCATAAGCAAGAAAAAACATTCAAGATAAGAGTTTCATGACAATAGAAGTCTTAATCTGTGAATTTGGGAAAAGCTGTTCACATCAAGGATGCCATCTTCTTCTTAGAAAAAATTTCCCTCGTTAGCTTTACCTCAAGGGTTCCAATGAGTGCATAGTTCCAAAAGTGTGGAGGGACCCTTCTCGGTTGCAAGACCATGAACCTAAAGCCCAAAATCCCAAAGTTTTGTTGTAGTGTGGATGGCAAGGAGAGTATGTCTCTGATGTTTCCAGATGATTCAAACTGTAAAAAGCTAGTTTTTACCTGGTGAAAAATACACTGTAGCATAATAATCTACTGTTATAACATCAACCCTCTTGCAGGGGAAAGCTTTTATACAACCAGAAAAATTGCATTAAAAGTAACAATTGAATGAAATCCCTTTATAAAATGTTTAAATGGCCCACCAGGTGACCAAATGTACCTGAAGCTTTAATTGTTTTCCCAGGAATATGGGATCAAGCATTAGTTATAAACTATTTCAAACAATTTCAGTATTAGCTGGTTTAACATGAAAGTATTTTCTTGATATTTAAGTTTTTGTTTTACTTGGGTTAGTAGCTTTGTACAAGGAAATTTGGTTATTACTGTGGTACATAATAACTGTAATTGTGATTAGTAGTATATACTTAGACATTAGAATTTTAGAAATTCCATCTAATTTTGGAATATATATTAGTATTATTCACAAAAATATAACCTAAATAATATTGAACATTATTTTGGCAATCCCATGTACCTAAACACATCAAATAATCCTTTTTACCTCTTTTCTGGATGTTTTCAGGGGCCTTTTGATCCATCCAGAAAGCCAGGCATTAGGAAAGACAATTTTGAAATGGAAGTTTGATTTTGGAATTCCAGATTATGGTTAATTATTTATTTTGCCAAAATAATGACAGAAATTTTAAAGAAGCAAGAACCTTTTATAACCTTAAAAGACATACACACACACACACGCATTCTACTGTTCTTACACACCTTGCATGTAAAACTGTTTCTAATAGTCTTAATTGCATGTTACAATGGCAACTCTTAGAAATTTTAACTTTAATGTAGTAAAACCTGGTAAGTTATGTTCTGATAAGGTTTGACTCTTGCCAGCATAGCTAGGGCATGGCCAACTCCATGTGCGTGTCCCCAGGTCTTACCTAGCTGGAAAGCAGTCAAGTTAAACTATTTTCAAAAGCCAAAGAAGCAGTTTATGACCTTAAAGCATTTAGCAAACCAATGTTTGAACATAATTTAGAACACATTTACATTTTGAAGGCAATTGTATTTTACCAATAATCTTTAAAACCATCTTTATTTCCCAAAGATTGCTAAAGTCAAGTGAACTAAAAAGCATTACACTTTCTATTTTTCTGACAAAATATTTAAGTTCTTATTACTAAACCAATTAATTTAAAACTTCACAGAGGAGATTAACCAGTTTACACAGAGCAAAAGAGGTAAGAGACTCACTGGTAAGATATTCTTACCCTGCTGGGCCTAAACTGTAGACCCTGGCCAACAGATGAAATGAGTAGTCAGACACAGGCATACAGTGTAAGAGCAGCTAGGTGATTGTCTCACTCTAGTGGCCAGAGAGGAGCTCAGGAGCTCCTTGCTTTTATTCAGTGTAGATACAATGCCAAAAACCTGGAGCCAACACAACCTGCAGGTAATTAACATTTGTTGTTCCCCTGTCAGGGAATGCATAAATGATCAAAGATCAGTTCCTGGTCAACATAAGTAAACAAGCCTGTTTAAGACAAATTTCCCCACACTCCCTTGTACCTACTCCTTGCCCTCTGCCTCAGGGTTATAGAACAGCTGCCTTCAGCTATTCTCCCCCAGGGTTCTACAGAACCTGCCAACCTTTCAGAGGTTTGCGTCCTTTCCCTATAGTTTTTCTACCACTGTGACTGATCTCCTACGTCTCTCCCTTTTCTGTTTTTTGCATCAGGTTTTGTTGATTGAGGCGTATAGATGTGCACAGTGATAACCTTGACAGGTGCAGCAGTTACAGCTCATGTTCCAGCTTTGCATCCTAGAACCAGTAAATAACATAGACAAACATCAGTATAATCAGTTTTGTTCTTTTCCAGTCAAGGAGTGATATGTAGTGTTACTTGGCACCTCAGTCCAATGTATGCCATTACTGATGGACCCCACTAGGGGCATGTCAGTCCTTCCCAGCCGATCAGTCACATTGTTAGAGGCTGGGAAGGGGGTGTCTGCCCAAGTAGCAGGGTTGAAAAAAGGTGGATCTAGAAGATGGACCCAATAGGCTGTAGCAGGTACAGGTGGCAGGCAAAGTAAGATAATAAAAAAGGTTAATACCCTATGAGAGTTGCAATGTACAACAGAAAACATAGCTAGGAACAAATTATCTGGAGTGAATGGTGTCTGTGTCTGGCACAGGATTTGCTTGGCCTCCTGAGTTGTCTTCTTCAGCATCCCCCAGGTAATGTATGGGGCCTGTGTCATCCAAGGAAGCTGCATCGTCCAGGCGCGTGGGTCCTGCAGGGTGGGTCATTTTCTTCATTTCTGGTACCAGATTGGGTGCCAGTCATGCCATGGTAAGGTTTGATGCACTGTGCTGAAATCCAAAGAGGACCTCAGGGGATGTGAACACAAGCATATCCTCTTCCCCACATTAGCAAATCATTTGGCCCACACCATACACTACTATTTACATTTCCATAAAACTGAAGGTTTTATATCTTGAATGTTTTTTGCAAAGTGCTTTTCCATAGTTGATTGAAATTAATCATCTAAATTTAAGAAATTAAGGGTAAATAAGGCTTGTACCAATAGTATTGCAGGATCTTTACTCATATTCCCCCTTTTTTGTTTTCTGAGCATGTTTTTAAGGGTAAAATGGGCACATTCCACTACGGCCTGTCCTTGGGGTTATATGGGATACCTGTGGAATGTTGGACCTTCCATTGTTGACACAATTGTTGAAATTGTGAGCTGGTGTAAGCCAGACCACTATCAGTTTTAATCTTTGTGGGCCACCCCATAAACACAAAGGTTAAGAGATGTTTAATGACATATCAGGCTGACTCTCTAGGAAGAGCATGAGCACTAATTAGGTGGGAATTGGTATCAATGGATACATGTACATATCTTAGTTTTCCAAATTCAGGGATATGCATAACATGATTTACCATAACTGACTAGCTTCTAGTCCTCTAGGGTTAACACCTGTTGAAGGGGGGGAACGTGCCTGTGAGATGGCAATCTGGGCACTGTAAAATAATTTGTTTTGCTAGTCTTTGGCTAAGTTGAAATTGTTTAGATAAATTTCTCCAATTCTGATGAAGAAACAGATGTGATTGTGTGGCTTGGTCAAGTAGTGACATCATGACCTGCAAATCTGCTTGATCATTGCCATGAGCCAGGGGGCCAGGTAGTGAGCTGTGAGCCTGAATGTGCATGATAAAGACAAGATGTGTTCATTGAATTAGCAATTGCTGAAGTCAAAGAAAAAGGGGACTCAGGGTGGGCTCAAGAGTAGACTTAATGAGGGCTGTTTCAAGGTTTTGCAATAAATAAACAGAGTAAGCAGAGTCACTAACAATATTGATGGGCTGAGCGGAAAAGGTTTCCAGGGCCAATATTAGGGCTTCAACCTCAGTTCTCTGAGTGCTAGTAAATCCAGATTGAGTAAGGGAGTTATGCAGTTCCCACCAGATAGCTGCTTTTCCATTTTTACCAGAGCCATCAGTAAAAAGCATTAAAGTGTTAGGTATGGGGGAGTGAACTACTTTTGTAGGTGTAACTACAGGAGTATGAAATAAGAACCGGAGCCGTTTATCAGCAGAAAGAGCATGTTCTAAATGGCCCACATAATCAGAGAGTGCGATCTGAAGGTCTAGAGATAGGGGCAGGACTGCTTCAAATTGTTTTTTACTTAAGGGTATTCTTATGATGTCAGGGTCATAACCTTGCAACTGATTGAAAATTGTCTGCTATGGCGTCAATTAATCCTTTCATAAATGGGCGAGCAGCTCTGGTTTCTCTAAAGCTTTTTCTTTTTTCTCTGTAAGTGTTGAAAGTAATGAATTCATGTACCCGATTGCCTTGTTGATCTTGCATCACCAGGCAGGCCAAGAGCTCCCCTTCTAATACCGCTTGCTTAAGACAGGATCCCATAACTGTAATGTATCCCTTGCCTTCTTTCCAATTTATTGGGGAAGGGGGTTCAGGGAAAATCTCCATCTCCTCTGTGGCACCTTTACCCCGTAACAGTGGGGCTGAGGGAGAAGGAGGAGGTGGTAAGGTATATGATGGTCCCTCTTCCCTTCCCTTTTTAGGCTCTTCTGTGTAGAACAGGGCCAAAGCAGCCTTAATTAAGGCCCATAACATTAAAGATGTTACTGGGACCCATTGTCCTTGTACATGATGTCATTTAAGATTTCTTCCCACTTGTTCCCAGAGCTCCAGGTCTAGCATGCCTTCTTCTGGGAACCATGGGTTATGGGAAACAACAGTCAGCATTAGGTCCCTTAATTGGGCCTCTGAGACTGTGGCTCCACTAGCTTTAAGCAGCTGTTTCAATACTTTTATATACTGCTGCTGTTGAGCTGATAACTGTTGTCCCATTGTGTCCAGAATTGGTGGGTTTTTGGTCTCACTGACTTTAAGAATGAAGCCGCGGACCCTTGTGGTGAGTGTTACAGTTCTTAAAGATGGTGTGTCCGGAGTTTGTTCCTTCAGATGTTCAGACGTGTCTGGAGTTTGTTCCTTCAGATGTTCAGACATCTCTAGAGTTTCTTCCTTCTGGTGGGTTTGTGGTTTCGCTGACTTCAATAGTGAAGCTGCAGACCTTCATGGCGTTACAGCTCTTAAAAGCAACACATCTGAAGTTGTCCATTCCTTCTGGTGGGTTCGTGGTCTCGCTGGCTTCAGGAGTGAAGCTACGGACCTTCACGATGATTGTTACAGCTCTTAAAGGCGGTGCATCTGGAGTTGTTCATTCCTTCCATCCAGAGTTGTTTGTCCCTCCTGGTGGGTTTGTGGTCTCGCTGGCTTCAGGAGTGAAGCTGCAGACCTTCACAGTGAGTGTTACAGCTCTTAAAGGTGGGGTGGACCCAAAAAGTGAGCAGCAGCAAGATTTATTGCAAAGAGCAAAAGAGCAAAGCTTCCACAGCGTGGAAGGGGACCAGAGCAGGTAGCTGCTGCTGGCTTGGGCAGCCTGCTTTTATCCCCTTATCTGGCCCCACCTACATCCTGCTGATTGGTCCATTTTACAAAGAGCTGATTGGTCTGTTTTACAGAGAGCTGATTGGTCCATTTTGACAGGGTGCTGATTAGTGCCTTTACAATCCCTGAGCTAGACACAGACTGCTGATTGGTGCATTTACAATCCTCTAGCTAGACATAAAAGTTCTCCAAGTCCCCACTAGATTAGCTAGACACAGAGCACTGATTGGTACGTTTACAAACCTTGAGCTAGAGGCTGAGTGCTGACTGGTGCATTTACAATCCTCTAGCTAGACATAAAAGTTCTCCAAGACCCCACCCGACTCAGGATCCCAGCTGGCTTTGTCTAGTGGATCCCCTGCCAGGGCTGTGGGCGGAGCTGCCCACCAGTCCCACACCACGTGCCTGCACTCCTCAGCCCTTGGGTGGTCGATGGGACCCAGTGCCGCGGAGCAGGGGGTGGTACCTGTCAGAGAGGCTCTGGCCACATGGGAGCCCACCATGGGGGGCTTGGGCACGGCAGGCTACAGGTCCCAAGCCCTGCCCCGCAGGGAGGTAACAAAGGCCCAGCGAGAATTCGAGCGCGATGCAGGTGGGGTGGCATTGCTGGAGGACCCAGCGCACCCTCTGCAGCTGCTGGCCTGGGTGCTAAGCCCCTCACTGCCTGGGGCCAGTAGTGCCGGCCAGCTGCTCTGAGTGTGG